CATCTAGAAGGGGGATAAAAACTCTCACAAAAGAATCAAATTCAAAAGGAAGCCAAAGGCAAAACAAAAAGCCCTGCACAAGGCACCAAAATGAAAGGGCTTGTTTAAAGGCAGGAGAACAGTAACAGCACAGTCTTCGTCTAGGTCTTAAAAGGCAGTGAGATGAGAGACACTGCACTGAGACTAATGTTCATCTCCCACCATGTCCACAAATTCCATGCTTGCGCGTGGGAAGGAGAGTGGCATCATACACCAAGTAGGAAATGCTGCTTGAAAAGCCAGACCTGGACAAAGGTCTGCAGTATCCACAGCAGACCATTTTTTCCTCTGCTCTATAAAGCCTCTTTAAGCCTCTCTGTGGGCGGACAGAGGTGTTCACCATGGAGGTGATGGAGGTGTTCATGTTCTGTGGAATGGCATACTGGGCTCTTACCAGTGTCTCCAGCAAGACTGACATGCAAAGCTGTGTATGGATGATTGCTGGGCTTGTCCACCATCTTCTGGTCCAGCTGCAAGCAGTGATAGGCATCCCGGTGTGGTCAACGGTTTAATACTCAATGGGAGTAAGCACCAGGACTTGGTGTTTGGTACCTACTGTGGAGATTCTGGTGACAGAAGTTTAGATGCACCCACTATCAAAGAGGAGGAAGAGAGTCCACTTAGTGTGAAGCTGCTTACTTCTGTGGTCACACTAGCTCCAGTTTTTAGTAAATTGTTCAGTAGATCAATTAGTTTTGGATAAAAGTAAGGCCATTTCACTTTTAAAATAGTACAGGATGGGTTAGAGGAAAATTTTAAACTTGAGTGAAATTTTGGGATGTAAAATAGGGACAATATTTGGTTTTTAATGTCGTTAACACCAAAACTCCTGTCAAATGTGTAGTATTGAAGAGCTCATCCTCCAGAATGCCCTAGAGGATTTTAGATGGTGAATCTCCCAATGATTCAGAGATGTACTCCTGTCAAATGTGTAGTATTGAAGAGCTTCATGCTGGGCATGCTGGGATGCTGGGCATCCTCCAGAATGCCCTAGAAGATTTTAGATGGTGAATCTCCCAGTGATTCAGAGATGACTTAGGTTCTCTGAGAAGTCTGCTAAACACCTTCAAGACTTAGCTAGTGATAGCTGCATGCTATTCATTTCAGCAACGTGGTCTTTAAAATACCTTCAGTTATGGACTGCTCGTCTATCAGGCAGAGCTAAGGTCTTTTCCAGAGCACTCTCACATCTGCATGTTGTACCACAGTCATCTCAACAGTCACAGAACAGGCTGCCATTGCTTCCTTTCACCTGTTTCTTCTACAGTCAGCCAGCCAAAAGTGTGGTATTCTTTCCAGTTGTTTCCCTAATGTTCCCTCTCTGCAACAGAAGATTGGGATCTCTGGGTCTTTGTTATTTGGACTGGTTGAAGGTAACCATATGTTTCAGTGCCCCGTTGGCTTTATTGCAGTTTTTAATGTTCTGGACTGCTCGTCTATCAGGCAGAGCTAAGGTCTTTTCCAGAGCACTCTCACATCTGCATGTTGTACCACAGTCATCTCAACAGTCACAGAACAGGCTGCCATTGCTTCCTTTCACCTGTTTCTTCTACAGTCAGCCAGCCAAAAGTGTGGTATTCTTTCCAGTTGTTTCCCTAATGTTCCCTCTCTGCAACAGAAGATTGGGATCTCTGGGTCTTTGTTATTTGGACTGGTTGAAGGTAACCATATGTTTCAGTGCCCCTTTGGCTTTATCACAGTTTTTTATGACCTTTATTGCAAACTGGACAGTTCAGGGGGGTGGGAATAGCAGAATAAAGAGTTTTTCAGTACCCAAGGTGAAATCCTGAGTTTGAAGTTAGAAAGGTGAGAAGGGGGTGGGAATAGCAGAATAAAGAGTTTTTTCAGTACCCAAGGTGAAATCCTGAATTTGAAGTTGGAAAGGTGAGAGTTTTGTGCCATCTGATTCAAATTTAGAATTCCAAATTCAGGACATGGCCTTGCTTACATATACATACCTGGTGCATACATAATACATCCATAGCCACTGGTCTGTTTAACTGGGAAGGTTACCTCTTAGCAGAGTTGGTATTAGAGTGTTATTTCCAAGTTATCTTCTTGGAGTCATGATGGAAGAAAAGTAGTACAGCAGTGGGGGGAAAAATCTGCTCGTTTCGGAGCGGTTAGGTGGGTAAACAGTAATACTTCTCACTGCCTTACACCCACATGGATAATAGCTGAACACGTACTATGAGTAATTTGTTTTTTAAGAATTGAAATTGACCCCAGATTAGAGCATCTGTACCGTACTTCATGTGTTGTTGAAGAAACTGGAGGCTCATCATTTGAATTTGGGATGGTGGCTGCATTTCTATAAAATGAATAAGATGAAATTCTATGGGGAAAGGATCGATGTGAAAGATGTAAGAGATTATTTTTAAGGGACTACCAGGGGGCACCTGGCCAGAATGGTATGCTATAAAAACCTATAGAGATTGCAATAGAAAGCATTCTATCCTTCCTTATTCCAGCATCCACCAAGCAATTCCTATTTATTTAGCAGGCAACCTCAATGACTTAAAGTTTCGCAAATTACAAATGTCTATCTGAAAGCAAAAAAGCTGTCTATTAAATGGGTGGACTCTTCAGGGAGATATTTTGTGTACCTTTTTTTTGATGTACCTTTACCTACTCTAACGATAGCAGCTGGGTGTAGCCAACAGTCCATTTGCATGTCCGTGTTACCTACTTGTGTGTGTGTAATACAGTAAGTTGTTTCTTTACATCTGGTGTCATTGTTGCATGCCTGGTTAAGATGCCCACCTAGTATCAAATTAATATTTATTTAATGACTAGTGTTAGGTAGAAAATAAGCAACATGTAGGTTGTGTGATGTAATCTGTGTTAAGTGTAGTATATGTTAGCTAAGTGTGGTCACCATCAGGTCACCTTCTGACTGCAACCACCACACAAAGCTGTGGCAGACTTGTTTTTCCCTCCTGCTTAGAAAAGACAGCTCTTGTGATACAGCCCGTCTACAGGCTCTTGGCACACTGTGACTCTTTAATGTCTATACTATAAATAAAGGCAAAACGTCTCCATGATATAATTCCTTCTGGAGATACATTGGTGGTGGTTTGTTAAAGAGATGTTTCGCAGCAAGGTCAGGGTTCGCTCCAATATTTGTCTGATACCAAGTGCCTGAGGCTCCTCCAAAGGCTGTATCAAATGGAAGAATTCATATGACTGCTCTTCTGCCTCTTCTCTGTGGGCTGTGCCTGGTCACAACCCAGCTGGCCTCCAGGCAGAGAAACTCAATAGAAGGGGAGACCTGGCTCTCCCACCAGCTCCGTCCTGAAGTGTAGGTACAATGAGGTCCAGCCACTTGGCTGTGTGAAGCTCAAGCCTGTATTCAAGGAAGGGAGGTTAGGCATGGCCAAGATGTTTCTGTGTCAGCACTTCATCCCTCAGGAACTAAAAAATGCATAAAGGGAGTTCCTGTCCCATCCTCCTGCACCCAATGTCTCGGCTTGTCCGGGTGAGCAAAAGGGAGCTGTAGACAGGACCAGGAGGGGAGGTGGAAGAAAGAGAGCCAACGTCTATGATCTTCTCCCCTCTTTCCTCACCACTGTAAATCCTGGCCACAGCGTGTTCACTGCTACGGCAGGTTAACCCTCCTGAGGGCTGCTGTGTGACCACCAGACTCCAGTAGCTGGTGTACAAGCCCTTCCCACCATTTGCCATTTCTCCCAGGCTTCTTCATGCAAGTGCGAAAAATCCAGCTGGAGTCACTGACTTTGTATTTCCAGCTCCTTGTACGTGCTGGAACTGAGCGAGCTGCTTCTGGTCCAGCTCTGCACTGAAATGGATGTACCCTCATCAAAGCTTCTGCTTGGCTTTCAGGTTCATTTATAAACTCTATTTCAAGTTTACAGTGACATGTCCTCTGCCACGGTGGTCTGACTGAGGCACAGAAGGCATAACTTTGGATAAGCATCACTGGAAAAGTATGGCCAAGCACATTTTAGTGCCTGGTTTTCCAAAGGTGTCCAATAACTTGGCTTTGTTCCTTATATCAAATGCTTAGGCCTGACCTTTCCAAACTGCTTACATAAATTACAAATTTTGAGGCTTTTTAGAGCTTAGAAAATTATTACCAAGTTGGAGGGAAGCAAAAAATGATGACACTTCAGCTGAAAATAGGAATAAGCAATTGGTCTCTTACCGTGGTAAATGTTCAGGTGAAACAATAAGTTGTGATTAGCTCTACCTGTTGACAAGCACTCACGTTCTGGAGAGTGATTTATTTGTTTTTTAAACATCTTTCAGGATTATAAATTCATCCCCAAACTAGCAAGATCCTAAACTACTTGGATGCATTCAAAAATTCTCCTGCAAGTCCCGGGTTAGAAACATTGACTCATGAGAGACCTTAAGGGTTGAGTGGTTTGAAACAAGATCAAAAACTCCAAGACAAGTTAATTAAATATACTAAAACCTCTTTCTTCCCAAACCTGCTAATCCAAATGACTTGGCCAGCTGAGTGGTAATGTGTTATCCCCTCTGCCACTCCTGCTGCCATGGCTACATTTTGTCTTAAGTCAAAACTTTGGCTTTAAGGAAAAATAGGAAAAAAAAAAAGGCAAAAAAAAAAAGCAGCAGCACTCTGGTATGTCTGACTACATACTAATATTAGCAAACGTAACCTTGAAATAGCATTGACGTTCATTAATCTGAACACTGTTCTAGTCCAAAAATGCTCAGATTACTGACGTTCACTGCAATTTTCTTCCCCACGCCACTATCAATAGCAGTCTTAATACCAACCTTTGAGTATACTAATTGCCTCAGACTGCCTTTAGGCAAATAAATAATTCTGTGATGCAAGATGAGGGGAAAGAGTTGGGTTTCTGAGTAGGTTAACTTGGACCTTTTCCAGTCAGCAGATACGTCTATGCCCTCATTTAGCTGTTTACAGATTTCCTGCTGCAGGAGTTTGATGATGCATTTTCTGCCTATAGGTGGAAACTTCAGGCAAACTTGGGCACTCTGGGCTGTTCTTCAGCTGATGAAGTCATCGTAGCTCAGCAGTAATCAAGAGCTCTTCCAGCTGACACCAGCTCCTGCTCTGAGAACCTGTGAGCTGTCTTTGACCTCAGAGCTCAGCTCCATCTGTAAAGTAGGTTTCATGGTTTCATACATACGTTGAAGGTACAAGGAAGTACTCCTTGTGAAATTAGAGGTCTCAAAGGAGCATCTTTTCAGGCTCTGAGAAAGTGAGAGCACGTCCTTGTAAGATGAGTTTGTACATAATGTAGATTTTACGTAAATGCTAATTGCTAAATTCTTTGTTAACTTTGTCTTCCCAATGTCTTCACTCAGCCTAAGAAAACACTCTAATACCTATGAAAAAAAAATATTAACTTCTTATATACAACCAGGTTTGTCCTAACTGCTATCTGTCAAGTAATTTTAGACACCCACATATAGAAAGTTAATTTAGGATTTTAAGAATTATTATTTTTTCCTAGTGCGCTCTCAGCACCCGCGACAGAAATAGATGTGGAACATAGCTAGTAAATTTAGAAGGGGCAGGCGGAGGGGACTTGGTTGTGTCTGGGTCAGCTGTGGGTGATGTCCTGGCTTCACCATGGTGGATTCCTCGGGACGACAACGGAGCCCCGTACCCACGTGCTTCACTGTTCCTTCAGAAACCAAACATGTTCCCTGCTGTCACCTCCCCTGAGAAACCCCAGACCTGGCCAGAAGGGACACAGATTGTCATTTGTCGCACGGGTTTCTCTTAGGAGCTGTAAGTCAGTCAAGGATTATAAAGAGGCTGAACAAAATAAGTAATTTAGGCAGTTGTGTTTTATGCATGTGACATTCCATGTAGTTTCATTCAGTGCACTCTAAAACAACTTTGTGCTCCCATTTTTTTCTAAAACTCTGGAAACCGGAAGACGTGATGGTTTCGTTAAGCTAAAGGGTTTTGGTGGCACCATTGACTGGTAGCCTGTTTGGAAAAAGTAGGCTAGGTAAAAGTACACTTAGTAAAATCTACTTTAAATATCAACTGCCAGCTCCTCTCTGCAAAAAAGACATAGCAACTGGAACTTGTCCTCATCTATTGTTTCCTCCCTGCACTACATAAAGATGATGAGGTGCCTTCGTTTCAGCAAATGCCTCTGGTTTCCGTAGCTCACTGATTTTTCTGCATTGGCTTTTAAGTCTTGCATCCCTAAACGGAGCATCATAGGCGGTCATGAGTCACCGTACAGGAACTAAATGTCAAAGTTGAAATAAAGTTTACTGCCACAGTTGGTGTGAACAGTGTGACTGGCGGTGTGTCATCCTCATAGCACGGGTGTCAGGACAGGGGGGAAGCTGGGTTGCCCCCCTCTTAGAGGACAGCATAATTCGACAGAGGTGGCACTTAAGTCACAGCACCTTCTGCCTTGACGATCTTTAAAACGTACGTTTGAGGGATTCAGGAGACCTTGAAAACAAATGTGGTGACCTACAAGGATATGCAGGGCAAAGTGCCCTCCAAGTCAAGAGAGCCGCCTCTGTGCCACGGTGTGACTCCGCAGACACGCTCGCACCCCAGCGGGATGGCGTGTTTTCCCAGAACAGCTGCCTATGGATAACTGAGGAGATCTCAAACTTGAGGTGCCATTGCAGAAGGGAAGGCTCTGCTGGGCTCTCCCCTGCGGCCTTATGCTGGAACAGTATGTGAAAATTGTCTGTCTGGGGTCCTCGTCTGACCTCCTCTTAACAGAAACCGCTATAGCGCTTAACAGGCAGAACTGAAGGATCATGAGACAAAATCCTACCCTGCTCCTGTGTTAGGAATTAACATCCAAGACACTTGTTTTGGCTCATTTCCTGCCCCAATGTCACCCCTGACATCATGGGCTCCCCTTCCTGCAACTCATAGTGTTGAAAATAGGAGAAGACGGAGGAGTTACTATGGCCTTGCTGATAATGGCAGAGATTGGACTCTTTCTGCTGCTGACTTGCCCCAGGTAGCTTGAGTACGTTGCTTCAGTGTGCTAAGACCCTGGTTTGTCTTCTGAAAAACGTGTGGTGTTTTTCCAAACTATTTTGATATCAATGGCTGAAGCCTCTTTTCTTACTATTAGGAGCTACACAACATACAAAGTCAAAACATGAAACTAAAAAACCCAAAGCAGAAACAAAAAACAAGTTGCAAGAATTCCTTACTACTTAAATTGAGCCTTCTTGAGATCCCAGATCATCCTTTCTGAACACTGAGCAAGTGTTGAATGACAACTGTAAATAGTCAGCAGTGGTTTAGGACCATGGTTTTAGGGTAAGTTGTGCCACTGTGATGGAAACTCAGCATCTTTGATTTCTAGGGGTGTTAAAGGCACATGGCATCTTGCAGATTGAATATTAGGTTTTTCTCTTTTCTTATTTGGCTCTACTGCTTCGTTCCCATTCAGTACAACTCCATAAATAAATAAAATAACTTAAAACCCCCCAACAACTGACCAACTGGCCTCTTGTTATTTTTAGGTCTTTTATGGAACCTTGTTTATAGGATGTTATTTATAGATTTTTGATATGCTCCCAGCTAACCTGCCTTGCTGGCTCTTTGCAGAAGCCCCTGCACTGCTCTAGCACATAGCAGCACCCCTGTAAGTGTCAGCATTCCTCTGCAGAGCTGGCACTTCAGCAAGGACGTGCTAGGTACATGACCCAGCTCAGGAGGTACGTATTGTCCTACATAAAGTGCCAGTGCTGAGCCTGTTCCAGTTTTATTAATTCCCATTACCCACATACAGACTGAACATTGTTATAGACAAGGATTCAGTCTCTTCTTAATTTGTACCTCCTGATCACGGTCTGTGATACTTCCTAAGGCCAGGAGAGAAAAACTAGGAGCAGTCATAGAAGTCTTGAGTCTGTGAAATGAAATTCAGAGCCAGAAAGGGAGTCGTCCATTGCTAGAATTCCCCAAATCAAAGTGAATGAGCAACGTCTTTTTAAATAGGAGTGAGACAGGGTAGGCCTCATGGTTGGGAAGAATCTTCGTAGCGGAGAGTTGGAGGACGCCAACGGTAGAGATCTGGGATTCTGAAATATGTTCCAAATGTGGCCCTTCCAAAGATCAGTCGCGGTCGTGCTGTGTGTGCTGGTGGTTTGCTGCTCCCCGGGAGCAGCCCGGGGCCGAATGCCCCTGGTCTCGGAGAGCACGGGAGGTGCCAGGTCGGAGTCTGAGCATTGCTGACTTGCAGCAGCTGCAGCGTGGCTTGGATACTGTCAGGATATTCTGCTTTGCTGTCAGACTCTGAATGTCACATTGACTCGTTGGGCACTTCTGGCCTAAAAGAGCCAGGGAGCGCTTCTGGGACCGAGTCCTTTCCATAGACTCAGCAGGAATCAGCTGTCATGACACCTAAAAGGCTGGATGAGCCATGGCTGATGGTAACAGGGGTAGGTTCAGCTGAAGGAGGCACGTGTAAGAAGGAACTTTTCCCAAAAGTTGAGAAAAGGTCAAAGCCTGTGGAGCGGGCATTCTGGGACAGTCCTACTGCTCATAATTCATGTAACTCTATCTGTACGAAGCCATTCCCAGCTTTCAGCTCCTTTCCAGGAGAAAGCAAAACCGTTTCAACTTTGAGAAAATACCTGGACATCACACTTACCTTATTGTAGACCACTTACACTTTCACCTCTGTCTCATCAGACCCTAAGAATAACTAATTTTTGTCTCTAAAGTCTTAATATCACTCCAAGCTGTGCTCTTATTGCTTTTGGACCTCCAACTCTTGTGAGTCATATCTGCAAATTACATGAGTCGGGTTTCAGTGGTGACCATCTCAAGTTGGCTGGCCATTTAAGGTGGAAAAATCCTTCATTTAGTTTTTATTTGGTCTTTGTGTTGTGAGTATTTGCCATTTCTCTTTTCTCTTGGTGGAAAAATCCTTCATTTAGTTTTTATTTTGTCTTTGTGTTGAGTATTTGCCATTTCTCTTTTCTCTTATTGTTTTTTTTTTTTAAAGCATAGCAACATTCAATTGTAAGTTTGCATTGAGGGCCATCATAAGGGGAACTTTGCTCTGGGGGCCTTGGAGGCATTATTAAGTTGAGATGGGCTCAAAAGAGAAAAATGAGGTTCAAATACCTAAAATTGTTGGGGTTTTCAGGTAACAGATGATACGAGGAGCGCGAGCAGGCCTTGGCAAGCTGGAGGGCAGTTGGCCAGCATGGCCGTGCCGAGCGGTGAGGACGAGCATCGAGAGGCACAAGCTACAGGAAGCGTGGAGGTGCCTCCAGCTGCTGCCAGCAGTTTGCAGGGACACCCAGACAAGACGCATTTGCCATGCGGAAGATAACCCAGGAAACAGTCCGTCTCCCGGAGCGGCGGCGGGGAATGGCAAAGAGTGTCCTCTACGAGCTCGAATTTAGGAAAAGGAAAGCATTTTGTCAGCTCCGGTGTCAGACAGAACGAGGATTGTGGGTTTCTTGCATTCAAAACCAAATTTCCTTCAATTTGGCAAGCGGCTGCTAGTGCTAATGTGAGGAGTTCTTCCAAACTCCCGAGCAGCGAGGGAATTTACACCGGGCTGAAAACAGCAATGAAATCACACTGCTTCCTTTCCTTGCTGCTGCTGCCGAGCCTTTGTGCTGGGCTTAACGTGTTTGCTGGTCCAGAGCAGACGGGGGGGACCGCTAATACCCCTCGTCTGGAAGATATGAACGTAATATAAGACAGCTATTCAAAGGCTACTGCTGTCTTGCGAGTGATTTATGGTACGCAGGAAAGATTCTGATGTGTCATGCTGCAGGGGGAAAGGAAAGGGGGGCCGGGGTCATGAACAAAAAGGAATTTGCTTATCCAATTTCCGTCTCTTTCTGAATTTGATTGGAACTCGCAGTTGTCAGGCTGTGTTTAAGTCTCGTCTTTACCAACGCCTCCTTAACTGCGGAAGGTCAAAACCAATTATTGTTTTGCCTCCAGGGACTTTCCTTCTTCAGAGAGACCTTACAGTGGATATTCTTTAAACCCTTTTCCTTCCAATTAAGGCCGCAAATTCCTTTTTTAGAGGGTTTTTTCAGGGGGTGGGGGGGGACAGTAATCGGGAGACTGATAGATTTATCAATAGCCTTGAAAAACAAAGCCTGTGTGTCTCAGGAAGCTTGAAATCTAATTCCTTTCAATGACTTTTCTCACTCTGAACTTTAAATCTGTCGTTTCATTACACCGGGAATGGAAAGCCCCTAATTTTCCCAGGCTACAGTTTTCCTCTGTTTTTTAACCCTCAAATACCATGTGGATTTATGCCTCTGAGTACCCGGTGTTTAAGCTTCTCATGTAGATAAGTTTAAGTTATTTTTTTGGTAGGAATTTATAGCTTTGGGGACTGGAGGCAGTTATGAGAGGCTGTACCTACATGACAGGTAATTAAGAAGTCTTCCAGATGTGGAGAGGGAAAACATCCTGAGTTAGTTGTAGATTCTTTTCCTTTTACTTTCTATTATGGACAGACTTGTTTTCAGTTTCATAGACAGTATCTCCTTCTGCTACAACCCATTGATACCCACTAAAGCCTGTGTCAGCAGATGGCTTTTTTTAAATTCACATATGTATCACAGGCTGCTGTCATTATTTTTTTACCCATTAGAGGGGTTAAATATACTGTTTCCCCTATATTTTGGATGTACCATTTGTTGTGGGAGAAGCAGCAGCAGAGCAGAGAGAAAATAATGTCTCTTGAAAGTGAAAATTCAACTGTAAGGTCAGGGGAGGGAGGCTGCGGAGGGACAGTAGATGGAGGGAGCGATACTTTGGTATTGCAATTGGTACAGTACTTTGAAAAATTACTTTGTAATTGCTATTTTTATCAGGATGAACTGTAAAAACATAGGACTTGGTGCGAGGTATAACCCCTGCACTTCACCAGGTACTCCTGTATATCGTAATGTCTACGTGGTTGAGATTATATTGACTACACTGGCTGCTCCACGAAAACAGTAGATTGTGCATAATATTAAAGGAAGTCTGTTTTTCTGGAGCTAGCAGATTCAAGACCCTTGATTAAATGCATTCACAGCTTCACCGAAGAATTGCAGAACTATGATTATGTGATTATAGGGCAGCTGTGGTCTTGTGGACTGAGAATAAGGACAGAATAACACATCCCTGGAACCCAAAGTAAAACATCTGAAACAGGTCTATCAAATGGTAGCCAAAGAATTTAAAGGGACCTGCCCAGGATCTTACAAAACAGACTGTGGCAAATCAAGATGATGACTCGCATCTCCTAATTCCTGTCATAGAATCATAGAATCATAGAATCATAGAACCATCTAGGTTGGGGATCTTGAAGGTCCCTTCAAGATCCCCAACCTAGATGGTTCTATGGTTCTATGAAGGGACCTTCAAGATCCCCAACCTAGATGGTTCTATGAATCTATGATTCTATGATTCTATGACAGGAATTAGGAGATGCGAGTCATCATCTTGATTTGCCACAGTCTGTTTTGTAAGATCCTGGGCAGGTCCCTTTAAATTCTTTGGCTACCATTTGATAGACCTGTTTCAGATGTTTTACTTTGGGAGGACTCAGCTCACTCCTTTGACTGCGTTACCCACAGAGAGAGTGTGGAGCGAGTGGCTGAGATGCTCAGGTTTCCATCCTAGATGCCTGCTTTTAATCAGATAATTCCTATCTGCTGTGTGTAATGGGGGTGATGGGTGCCCTGTTGTCAAGATACTATTTGCAATTGGTTTATAAAGGGTTAATCTATTGTGAACGTCTTGATCAGTCGTTACATACAACATTGAACAAGCCTAGGGGGTGCTGATAGATGACTTAGAGTTTATTGTTCTTGTCTACAACAAGGGATAGCCAGGTGATAATCCTTTCCAAAACAAGTATAAATAAAGCTTGAACACTGAAATACTCTTTAGGTATGGCCCTGAAAGCAGAGGTGCAGAGTCTTGCCTGCCTCTGAAACAGTGCTGGCCCCGAGCCCTGAGATCCCATCTGGGCAGATATCGCAGCGGCGCTACCAGGAAATATTTTACTGGTTGGAAAAAGAATGATTCCCTTCTTACCCAGAGCAAAGCAAATCCTCCAGATGTAATAACAACTCGCCAGTCTCGCCCCACCGGGCTGGCGCAGATAGAGCAACGGAAATTTCCTTCTGGGCTCCTGGGAGAGCCTGTCCCCAACGAGGGCTTTTCTTTTGATAAGGTGTCTCTGGCGTCCCGTCCCGCGCTGCTGAACCAGCCTGAATCAGCACGTCCCCATGTGAGCGCAGGAAGATCCCGCTCTCAGCCGCTGAGTCACATGAATAACTGGAATAGTTCTGCAAAGCAGAATTAATTCCCAGAACCTCTTCAGGCATATACCAGCAGGCACATGCTTTTTCTTTTGCTCCAGCGTTACTTTACAGCTCTGTGAGGCAGTGGGAAGGACACTACTGGTATTTTTAATTGAGGTGAAGCAGTTTACCTGGTGTTAGAGTGTTAAACCTTACAAGTTTGTTGTTGACACTCCCCTGCTTCCAAGAAGATTTAAGAATAAGCCAGGACATAACAGAGCTATTAGGGTTAAGCTCAAATCAACTGTGCAATGACTCAGAGCTTGTAGTCCTTTCAAACCAAGTGTTTGGGGGAAGAACCTTGTTATTATTAACTATTGAGGAGCCTGTGGTTCCTGCAGACCATTCAGCCAGCAAAGATGTGTAAGGAAACTCTCTGGGGTTTTTTTGATCTATTATACTTTGGCAAAAAAGTGCGAATTACAAGAACAGTAAATCCACAGCCCTGAGATTCTGCTTTAGGAAAGTCCTTAGACTACATGCTTGAAACTTGGGCAGAGGTGGGAAATTCTTTGTAAGAACCTTTCAGTTCTAAAACATGCAGGACTAAAGCTGCCTGTGTGTTAAAGAAATGAACTCGTCTGAAACAGGGGAGTGAAGAAAGGAGGCTCTATAGCAAATGCAGAATCCAGGTATTGCTCCAAAAGGTGGCCCAGGGTGTGAGGGCTGTAATAGGGAAGTAGAATGAGATAGAATAATAGGAAAGCAAGTAGAGGGTTCATAGTTAATTAAAATGTTGAGATTTTTTCCTTTGAAGCTGTATTTCATGTTATCTGAATAATAGTGATAAGCTACCCAGGCACACAGGGGAATGAAGAAGAAACACCACTTGTGCTTCCACCTGTTGCTCTTGAATATATCATAAATGAATACAGGCTAATCTGCTCTCCAGTCCAGCATCACTGATAAGAGGAACTGATTCCATGGCTTTTATTTCTGTTCTCTCTTCATTGTGCCATTTTTCTACAAAATGCTGCAGTTTTTAATATATGTTACTCCTTCAGAAAACCTTATGTGAGTTACTCTTGACCTGTTATTTTCAACTACCATTGCAAAAGAAAATGAATTTTAGAAGTTCAACCTAATTGGGAAATATTACTAAAGAGGAGGAGCTCTAGGGACAGCATTTAGAGTCTGGATGTCTACGCTTTGGATTTTGTCACTTGCTTGGGCTGAAAGGCAGTACCTTTCCCTGTGGGGGATCTGAAAGGAACGCTCACCAAACCCAAACATTTTTTCTGACATCTGTTGCTTGTTTGGATGTCAGAATTTGCGATAATGGTCAGAAGAAAGTATACATGTCCGGTAGTCATGGAAACTCATATAGTTTTTTCCTGTTTCTTTTTCTACTTTTTTCTAGTGAATGAGTCGCTGCCGAATCCAGCTGGCCGGCAGCCCGAGAGACTGCAGTCCTCAGCGTAGCCACAGCACAGGGCAAACCTCGGAACCTCGGCAGAAACGAGGAGCTTTCTCTTCGGATGTTCTCACCAAAAGGCTATTTTCAGTAAGCAACTCTTTTTCTTTTTTTTTTTTTTTTTTCCGGGAGAGTCCAGTGCCTCAGGAAGAGTGACCATTCATTCCCTAGTGTCTCTGGCTATGGCTAGAACATAAAATAACCCAAACACAAAGTAGCGTCTCGTGACTCATATCCACATGACTCAACTCTTTTTCCCCCTGTTCCTGTGTCCCAAGCAGGTGGCCTCATCCAGACGGCCTCCTGGGAATAGTCCGTGGCCTTTGCTGTCTCCCAAGTCTTCTCAGACATCGTCTGGGAGAGCTCTAGCTGGGACAGGCCAGGGAGTGTCCTAGCAGTTACACAACCTGCGAGATCATGGATCAAAGCTCTGCCCTGTTCCTCCTGAGTTTGTGGAATAGATGTATCCTCTGTGAAAGCTGTGAGCAGGGAAAGCAAATAGTCCCAGCGGTGGTTCTAGTTGTGTGATAGGGACACGAGAATGAGGCCAAAGCTGAACATGAGCCAGCAGTGTGCCCAGGTGGCCCGGAAGGCCAACAGCATCCTGGCCTATATCAGGAGTGAGTAGGACTCACTATGGTGAGTAGGACTAAGGCAGTGACTGTCCCCCTTGAGCACTGTGTCCAGTTTTGGGCCCCTTACTACAAAAAAGACATTGAGGTGCTGTAGTGTGGCCAGAGAAGGGCAACGGAGCTGGTGAGGAGTCTGGAGCACAAGCCTCGTGAGGAGTGGCTGAGGGAGCTGGGGTTGTTCAGCCTGCAGAAAAGGAGGCTGAGACCTTATCACTCCCTACAACTCCCTGAAAGGAGGGTGTAGAGAGTTGGTCTCTTCTCCCAAGTCACAGGCATTAGGACAAGAGGAAATGGCCTCAAGTTGCACCAGGAGAGGTTCAGATTGGATATTAGGAAAAATTTCTACATGGAAAGGGTTATTAAGTATTGGAATGGGCTGTCTGGGGAAGTAGTTGAGGCACCATCCCTGGAGGTATTTAAAAGACGGGTTGACATAGTGCATAGTGACATGGTTTAGTGACAGTTTTTGTCACTGTTAGGTTGATTATTGAACTTGATGGTCTTAAAGGTCCCTTCTAACCTAGGCAATTCTATGATTCTGTAAGTGCTAGTTCACAGAAGATGACCACTCAAACGAGGGAATCCACAGGACAAGGATGGCCAGGATTTTCAGGGACCATCTGAGGTCACCTGGATTTTTTTGCATGCTACCTAGAGCTACAGGATCCAGTCTTGCTGCACTGAGATGGCACAGCAATTCAGCTGCTAACTTTTGGCATTCCACTGTGCAATTAAGGTGCTTTAAGCGTATCTCAAACTGTCTAGATATTGTGCAAGTGTTTGCAGTGATGACTTACATACTTCATCAGCGCAATGCGTATGACAGACATACTGTCTGCTGCCAATAAAATGTCTCTCAAATTTGATTTGCGCTGTCATGTTTTGCAACAAAAGAGCACTTGGATGAGGGCTCAGTCCAAGGATTGTTGGTGCTTGTAGCAGCTTTCCTGTTGATTTCAGGGGGTTCAGTATTGGTCCCCCAACATTATCATTGTGACAGCAGCAACGTGCTTGGCGGCTCCTACAATCACTGCTTTCAAACAAACTATTTGTTATTTTCAAGGGCTGGCCCAGTATAATTTGCTGAGAATCCAGTTGGCAGCTTCACCCAAATGAAACCAGTGTGTGGTTTCATCGTTGTCTTCAGAAGGAACTAGAGATGTCCTAAAACTGTACAGCTGCTTTGTGTGCTATTAATGCAGTATTTTGTGGCTCTGTCAAGGAAGGGTTAAACAAACATGTAACATGGATCTCTTCAGGTTTGCCTTTTACCTATTTTCTCCTCAGACAGGAGGTTGACAGCAAAATCGTTATTTTAGGGCTACGTGGTTTGGACAATAGATCTGGCTGAGCAGTAAAACTCAGTTTATGTTCCAAAATGGAGCAGGACAGGTATTTATTATAGGAAAGCCCCCAGAGTACAATAGTTAGTGGAATGCTCTTTCTATAAAATTTTACAACCAGTTTATAGAATTCCACAGAGAAGATTGTCAAGATGCAATCTTTATTATGTTTCAGTCCAAATCTCTGTGTGGCTTCTAAATATCTGTAGTAAGTGTGCCTCTAAATGGACTTGTCCCCAATCACATGGGAAGCGCGTCATGCCAGAATTGATATCATCATTGGATTATCCTCCTTGTTAGCACTTTGAATCTTCATAATGCACTTTGAAGTCTTCAGAGGAAGAGCTTCATGGGAATATTTGGAGAGCCTGATTCAGTTCTTAATTGGATTGACTCATGTTGAGTCACCAGGAGATCCATTAGCTGCGTCTTTACAATCTCACACTCAGGTTTTCAGAGGGCTGTGAGGGAGTCAGACCCCCCCAGCTGCTGCTGCTGAGGTTCCATAGGATTGGGATATCTAATTCCATTGTGCTCTCTGGAAAGTGGTGGTTTCTAGGCCACCAACCAACACAGCTCTGGCTGCCAAGACGGCCACCTTCTGTGTTCTTCTGACACCCAGTTGTCCAACTGCTTGCCAGGCAGCTTCTGAAAATTATCATCTCCTACTCCCTGGCTTCAGCATCATTGGCATCTATTACGCACAAAGAGTTCACCACACCCACACCTTGCCATAGTGGAGGAAGTACTTGGCTAACAGAAGCAAAGTTAAAAACACAAGAAGCATCTTCCTCTTCGTTTCTAGGAAAGGTTTTTTACTCCATAAATGAGCCCCTTGAGCAAAACAGCAAAAGGCAGTGAGTAAGGCACCTGATGACTAAAATAATTTAGGTTGTGGGAAGCAGCAGAATTTGATGTTGAATAAAAAACTTAGTGGGATTCGCTTCACCTAATTTACGCCATCTGAAGTTAAGCATTCAATCAAAGCAAGCCATCCAACACTTGATCTGTTGTCAATGGGGACAGGTAGGTACTCTGAGAGGGTGACTCAGCCCATCTGTCTTCATTCTGCTGGGCTGAAATGAATTGCCCTTTGAAGTTGCTGCCTAATACCACTTCCTAATACTCTTCAAAACAAGTAGAGAATCTGGGGTGGGTAGTTTAGTATTGCTGATTGATGTCAGACAGCTAAAGTTGGGTAAGAGAGAGAAAGATGAGCACTAATACATTGCCATGTGTGAAGGACCATATTTAATAAAAGAAAACAGTGTTTATAAGGGCCAAAGTCTGACTTGTATGAAAACAATCATGGGAATTGCCTAAACTGTATATAATCAACAAGATGTAACTGGTCCTGGAAATAGTCATGCTGGCACTGACAGGCACACGGATGTGGGACAGAGCCTCTGCTCCTGCTTTGCAGGCACACTGTGGATGCTAGCAATTTTTTACTTAACCTTGTTCCATGCAACTTGGGCCAAGATTTGGAAACTTGTGTTTGATAGAGTAAAAAAAATAATCCCTACAAAGTGTTTACAGAATTGAGGGTAAACTACTAACGCTACAGCCTCACCTGAGGTGAGATTTTGCTTTTTCATTTTGATACAAGAAACCTCTAAAACTAAGAAAAATGAGTCCTGACTTAGACTCACTAAAAAGACCCCATGAAACGAAACAACAGAAGTGATCTGTGACAGCTCTCTCGGAACAGCAGAAGGTTTGACTTGAGAGTGACTGTGGGCAATTCAATATTGAATGTAATAAGAATATTTCCTTTGTACTTCTTACGACATTTCTTTGGTTAATTATATCATGCATCTATTGAATATGTGAAGCATGCTGCTAAAAATGTTTAACTTCTGAAATTAATAAAAATATGCCAGAAAACTAGATGTGTTATGAATAACACTAGAAATGTTACAAATAATGACGACTCTGGAGCCAACGGTCTACTCCCACAAGTGAAAATTACCAGGCATGAATAAGAATTGCAGCATGACAACTTGAGTACTTTAAATCTTTGAAACACTTCACACACTTTCCCCCTAGAGACACCTTGCAGCAGAAGAAGAGGAGAGATGCAGGACCTGATCCTCTACTGTTACGTCAAACGGACCTTTGCCAATGACTTCAACAGGTCTGGGATCAAGCCGTATAATTTGCCTAAGGTTGAACTGGGTGTCAGTGGTGGGATGAGCTCAGGCTTCTGGCCTCCAGCCCTGCATACTGGCCATGAGAGCATCCAACTACTTACACAGTGTTATCTTTTAGCTTGGTGGTGACTAGATAAATCACTCCTGACTCTCAGTTTCATATCATTCTAATATTAATGGGGCTAGAAGTTTAGGAAATAGCATTATGTCCAACCCAAACTATACCATAATTATATATATAGAATCATAGACTGGTTGGAGTTGGAAAGGACCTTAAAGATCACAATGTTCCAACCCCCTGCCCTGGGCAGGGACACCTCCCACCAGACCAGGTTGCTCAAAGCCCCATCCAGCCTGGCCTTGAACACCTCCAGGGCTGGGGCAGCCACAGCTTCTCTGGGCAACCTGTTCCAGTGTCTCACCATCCTCACAGGAACGAGCTTCTTCCCGACATCTAATCTAAATCTCCCCTCTTTCAGTTTGAAACCATTACCCCTCGTCCTAGCACTACATTCCCTGATCAAGAGTCCCACCCCATCTCTCCTGTAGCCCCTTTAGGTACTGGAAGGGGATATAAGGTCTCTCCAGAGCCCTCTCTTCTCCAGGCTGAACAACCCCAACTCTCTCAGCCTGTCTTCATAGGAGAGATGCTATGTATATATATGCTTTTTTTTTTTTCAGAAGAAAATGTGTAATTCTTTTCAGAAGAAATGTTTTCTTTTCATTAATTATTTTTTTTTCATTTCTCCTTCTTAGAAGAAATGTGTAATTCTGGAATAAAACCCATGATTGGAAAAGAGAAGGGATCGGCAGAGCTAGACAGCAAGGGTAAGGGGCAGATCTGGCCCTGATTTCATTTTGGGTCTATTCCTGCTCTTGTATCACTCGGTGATGTTTGGCATCCTGGTGCTTTCAGGTTGTTATTCCAGGAGAAAATCAGCTGGGCTGACTGACAGTCCCCT